AATAATAAAACAACACAAATTCAAAACAAGTTAACGTAATCCGTAGAAATGCTCTAGCTAGTTTGCCATTTTGTTGCCAAGTAACTGATGATGACGTTGGTGACAAGCTTTACCCAGAATGCACTGGAGACAACAAGGACGATTCATTTGTAGTTTTGTGTGTCATAAAGTTAAATATAAGAGTGAAAATAAAGCCAGTCATGTATGGCAAGCCGTTTTAACATAAATTCGGTTTCGTCTGACTATCCGTAATTACATTCCAGATATCTAAAAATGCATTCTGACGATACAAAACTACATTTTGACTATCCGGAATGGTAATTTAAGATATCTGTATTTACATTTTGACTAGTAAGAATAATAATTCAAGATATCTTCAAGTACATTTTGACTAGTCAAAATTCCTTTCAAGATATCTCAAATGACGTCACATGATCTGTCATTTGACGGGACACATAACCGTAATTACGATTTAAGATATCTTCAACACAATTGTGACTAGTCAAAATTACAATTTTAGATATCTGAATTAAGAATGACGTGGAAGCCCCTTTGTGGTGTCCAAACAGTTGCCTGCAGAATTTTATATTTCCTGCACAAAATTGTCAGTAAATGCCACAAATTAGAAAGAGCTCGACAATGTTGGAAATGCGGAGATAGCAAAACTTCATAAACTATAAGACTGCTTCTGATATCTGCAAAGAACTTCCTGTTTATTCATTTCCGACGAACCAAATGCACTTAAAAACAGCTTTGAAAAGCTAAGCTTGCTATTGTCAAACCATTTTCAACATGAAAGTAATGCATTTTCTAACATCTTTTTTTGTTTTCTCTATTTTTCATTGTTTTATTAAACTTTCAAATTGCTACATTTTGACTAGACAGAATACTAATTCAAGATATCAGTAATGTCATTCTGACTAGTCGGCATGCCAATTTAAGATACCTTAAATAGAAAAGCTGTGTAATTCAAGATATCAGTCAAAAAGGAATTTTGACTAGTCAAAATTACAATTCAAGATATCTTTAATTTAGTTTTTTCTAGTCATTGTTTGCTTTTAAGATATCTATAATTTAGTTTTCACTAGCCAAAATTACATATCTCCTATCCAAAAATACATTTAAGATATCTTGAATTATGGAGTAATTCGAGATATCTTTAATTAGAATTANGACTAGTCAAAACTANANTTGAATTTACTTTATGACTAGTCATAATTTAATTGTAGATATCTTAAATGTGTATTTCAGATAGTCAGTAATTCATTTGAGATATCTTGAATTGAAGTCTCCATACAAGTCAATGGTAAATCTGACGTCATTTCGACTAGTCAGAATGTAATTAGAGATATCTCAAATAGTTATTTTGTCTAGTCAAAATATAATTGGAGATATCTTAAATCCTTAAAACGTCTAGTCATAAAACAATTTGAGATATCTGGAATGTAAGGGCGGTAAAACCGAATTTATGTTAAAATGGCTTGCCATAAGTCATGTGGCACAACATTTTACTCAATATTTTACACCGACTATGTCACTAAAATCAGTCAGTCTGGTAATGTTTTAAGCAACCATAAGTCAACAATGAAGCATCCTACTATATTACCTACTGGGGTACACAGTTTTTAATAGGATAGGGCTCTCTATTACAGTTCTCATCAGATGTAAAAAAATAAATAAATAAATAAAATAAATAAGTAAAATGTGCATCTCTGAAAGCATGTTTTGCCTCCCATTTGGGACCTCTGTAGGTGTAGGCTGGGGGCCTGCTGCAACCCTACCCTATCTTGTCTGTTGCTCCTTTCTTGATGATGTGATGTCACAAATATGTTACAATTGTGGGAGGAACTGTCTGATGTTGATTTCTAAATCAACACCAGACTGAATGTTGAGTTAGACTGTTGGAGTTAATTTAGAAATCAACACTGGACTGGATTGCTTTTTGTTTAAC